GTAGTATTCCATTGTGGAGATATACCACAGTTTCCTTATCCACTCATCAGATGATGGACATTTGGGCTGGTTCCAACTCTTGGCTATTGCAAATAGAGCTGCAATAAAGATTGGAGTACAGGTATGCCTTTGTCATGATGATTTCCATTCCTCTGGGTATATTCCCAACAGTGGAATAGCTGGGTCATATGGTAGAGCTATCTGTAATTGTTTGAGGAACCTCCATACCATTTCACAGGAATCACTTTAGAAGAATGAGAGGTGAATGTGATTAGAGAAGCCATGGGTCAATGTGTCTTTCCTTCACTTCACCCAGGTTGAGGAGATAGGCAGTAACCAACAAGCACTGGAGGTTTTGTTCTGGGTCTCCTGCTGAATTTATGAAGGATAAGACTGACAGCACTGGGGGGATGGGTGTGGGGGTGATCATGATCTGTACCTCTAAAGTGGATCTGATTGATATGATACAGTCTCCTCTTGGATTGTATTGTGTGTATGTATCTTCTCTAGAGAGCTGGCAGATGGGGAAGTTAAGACTGTCAGAGGCTCTGAAACACTGCAAAGGGCTCTTGTTCATCTGACACTAGTTGCTTGTTGACATATTGCTACAAAAGGCCTGCACCCTAAACTTTAGCAAATGCCCCCTGCAAGGACTCCTGTGTGTTGATCTTTGGCAATGGAATTCCTGTGTGTTCTACCTGACTTTTAGCTGCCCTGGCAGATGTGCCCAGGAATGAATTTATATATGCCTGAGAATTTATATATCGAATCATATGATCTGATGTACTCTATTTCTTTTTTTCTATCCTGTATTTAGATGTGAGGCAGAGAAGACCTAAAACAGAAATGTCAGTACATGTTGATTTGTTGACAAATTTTATTGTTGACAATTTGTTGACAGCTTTTATCTGGGAGAAAAAAATGTAGGGCAGTACAGTGAGCCTCGGCATGCATTCTTATGTACTCAGCGACATAGCCGTGTCTATGGAAGAGGAAAGGAAAGGAATCTCAGACTGGGTCCAGTCAGGAGAAAGAAGCCCCAGCAGTTACTTTAACAGAAGGAATTAATATAAAAAATTAACCAGGTATTGGATTACCCGAGAGGCACAAATGATTACTGAGGTTCACAGTGGTAGTAAACTGCAGGAATGGCTGGGGGGTGGGGGGGCAAAGGGAAGAAATTAGAATAATTAAAACTTAAAAGCTTGGACTATGCAAAGGGAGAACCAAGACTTCTTAGGAAAGGGCACTGGATGGTTGGCTGTGCTGGTGTCTCGGAAGGGGGTACGATGAAACTGATGCTGGGAATCTAGAGAAACTCCCGAGTAGAATCAATTGCTCTTACTGGAACAAATTGCAGCTTCCAGGGTTAAGAATATTACCGGTGATGCTGATGAACAGGAAGCAAACAGGGAGCCAGTTCCTCCCCCTCCTCCTGCCTCCAGCCGCACTCTGGCGCCCTCTACTGGCAGAACCTAGCAGGAAGCCAGCAGGCCCAGGAGAGGTGTGATTACAGGGTGGGTTTGGGGCTGGAGGCAATTAAGTTTTTAAAAAATTAAGAGCCAACAGAGAGAGCATCTGAGTGCAGGAGGTAGGGAGTGGGGAGAGGAGAAGTAAGAGGGAGAAGAGGGGGGTTAGGGCGAGGAAGAGGGAGAATGTGTGCATGTGAGTGTGCTGGCAGGAACAAAGTATCTTAGCTGGCTGAGAAAAGACGGGTTGCTACTCAGGTATAAAAATAATCACAATGGTAGCCTGTATGTAGGAACTTGGTTCCGGAAGGAATAACATGAGAACCCTTATGTGGCTGGGAGGAGGGAGGTGGTTAGGTTCTAAAGTCAGGGCATTAGGAGAAAATCACAAATAAACACTAGAATCATACACTAAGACATGAGAGCCTATTGGGATGAAAAAACAGATCTGTGGCTCTTATCGCAGGCTCACTCTGTGACACAGATATGCATACTGAGTGGAATGCAGGGGACCCCCGGCCCCCAACTGTCTATATTATGAGTTTCTCTCTCTTTCTTCTGCACTCTCACCAAGCACAGACAGAGGAATTCATGTAAGTTATGTGTATTTGTGATACAACTTCACCTTAAATTGTACCAGATGTGTGCTAAGCACTCTGTCTCATACACTGTATTATTTGATAATCACATTGACCCCAGAAATGGTATTATTATGCCTCCTTAACAGAAAAGAGAGCAGACACACAGGAAGGTTAACTAATGTGCTGTGGGCACAGGCAGTGAGCCATAAGACCTGGGTTTCAAGCTCAAGTGTGTCTTGCTCCAAAGCCTATGCCCTTATACTCTGTTCTTAGTACCACCCTGCTCCCCACTTTGAAGATTCTGCTCTGACCTCTTGTTTAGGGTGAATTATATGATCTGCGACAAAACTAGGGGCCTGTGTGAACTGGTCTCTGAGATACGATAAACCTCACTGTCCAGTATGGTGGCCACTAGACACATGTGGCTATTTAAACTTTAATTAAAATGAAGTAAAATTTGAAATTCAATTCTTCAGTCACCGTGTATCCATTTCAAGAGCTCAGTAGCTCCATGTGGCTACTGACTACCATATTAGATAGTACAGAACATTTCAATCATTGCAGAAAGTTCTGCAGTAGATCTAAAATAAGTGAGAGCATGGCACAAACACCTGGTTTCCAAACCTTGTTTTGCGCCTTACTAGGGCAGGTTACTTGGTTTTCAAACATTGCTCTGTATTTGTGGGCAGGTTACTTAATCTCTCTGTGCCTCAGTTGCTGTGTCTGTAAAATAGGGATCGTCAAGGCAGAGCCTCATAGGATTCAGGTGAAGATTAAATGAGACACTGTCTTTAAAGTTATTAGCATGGTACATGTCCCTTGGGAGTTCTCAAGACATGCTACCTACCTAAAGGGGGAAAGGGTCTCTTAGCTGTAACATTCAATGATTTTTGTAAACACTCTGCCCAGTCTGTTTTCCCTGTGATATTTTTATTTGGGGAAGGCAGGAAGGAATTTGAAGCAGGGGAAAGAGAATCTTGATCATTTATATTTGTCGTGCTTCATGGAGGCAAGGAGTCCTATGTTAACTTACAAGATGATTTTATTTAACATGCATTTCCAAAGCTCATACCATGTGTGAGGTTCTGATCTAAGTACTTAACACGTATTCCTTCATTTCATCCTCCAAACAGGCCCATGTGGTAGGTATTCTATACCCTCATTTTTAATACCCTCTGCATTTCTGTACCCTCTGCATTTTGTGACTTATCTTGATAAGTCTTGTGGGAATGGGGAGGGGAGGACAAAGATGAAAGAGTAAGATTCTCCCCTTAAGGCAGAGAGTAGAGAAACAAATAACTGTAGAGGGTATACTATCTCAGGCTAGACATTTTGTGTGCATTATCTAATTTCATGCAACAACCCTGTGAGACAGGTGATATCCTCCCCATGTTATAGGCATAGAAACAAGCTAAGGAGGTTGAATAACTAGCCCAACATGTACAACTAGTTCAGGGGGAGAACTGGGATTCTAACCCAGGCCTAGTTCCAAATCCCATACACTTTTCACAGCATCTTGATGTCTGTTAATAAAGAAGATAACATGTTTGAATATTTAAATGTAATACAAAGTATAAATAAAATAATACAGAGAAGTTGCCCTAGGGGTTAAGAGCAGGAAGGGATTATTCCTAGCCAAGAGGGTCATGAGAGGCCTCATTGAAGAAGGAACATTTGAAATGGGCTTGAAAGTGGGTAGGATGTGGGCCAGTGGGAGTGGGGGAAGAAGGTTCCAGGCAAAGGCAGAGCACATGCAAAGGCTCTGGCGGGATCAGGGTACCAGGAATAGTTAGCAGTGATGGACCGAGGAGGGGGAACTGCCTGTGTGAGGAGCAATATCTTGTCATCAACAATGTTTTGAACTGCCAGTGCATGGTCACAGTAAAGAGCAGACTGAGTCTTGCTTTTATTGTTGCTTTTACATTCTCTGTGGGGAATGCACCCCCTCTGTTATGTGTATCCAGCCAGAGCGCTCCCATCCTCCACCCTTTGGTACGCCACTGCTAACCGGGTTTGTTTGAGGAAGTTTCTCTTGAATGCCTTCTTCTCTATGCCTTTCTTGGTAGCACTCCAGCTTCTACGATTCCCAGCCTCTGTTCATTGTACACTACCAGCAGTGTGTTCCGGGGAGACAGGTTCTGTGAAGAATAAAGAGGTAGCCTTGGGATTCCCATGAGTTTTGGAAAAGGAGGGTCACAAGTCGAGCCAGGTGTCTCTCATGCTGCATATCTGGAGTTCTTCTACCCTGGGTGGGAAGCCTGGCTGAGACAGAACCTTTTCCAGGGTCTGAGCAATACCCTAGAGTCAACGTGCAATGCTAGATTGAACCAAAAGGCAGGAACCATGGGCCTGGAGGAATCTTCCTAGAGCTTTTGTCACTTGGTGGGAAGCTGAGAGTGGGCTGACTTGAACACTGAAACCACTGAAGAGAAGACCTTGTGGCCGATACCCTACCCTATCCCTCTGACCTTTCCCTGATGACTACCCTGTGGGCAAAGGTACATGGAGGGCCTCCTGCTAATTTGCAACTGCGTTTTGCTCTCTGTTATATAGTATTTCAGTGACAGGATCCACTCAGGAGAGTTGGGGCGAGGCTGGCTGAGGTTCTCAAGGAGCTGAGTTTTGAGTTCAGGTGCCCGCATGGCAGTGGAATGATGCCTCCTGACTTACAGATCTTTGAGACCTCTGGGCAGTCTTAGAAATCACTTCACGCCTCCCGTCCAGTCCAGGATACGCCTGCCTAGGGGAATTCCAGGGAAAGGTGGCAGGTAGAGTATCCTTTCTCAGTTTTCTTTTCTCTCATTCTCCTTTCCCTCCTTTCTGTGTGTCTGTGTTGCTCTGTTATGTTTCCTCCTCAAGATTTCAGAGTCCATTGATGCCAGGGTATTTATGTTATGTTCTTGTCAACAGAGGTATCATGGATTGCAAGGTGATGGATAACACAATGTGCTAGCTACTGGATCTCAACCATTCAAGGCACTGGATGTTCCAAAGCATAAAGCCACCCTTCTGGAGAGGCAGCAGAAAGCAAGCTGGCAGCAGGTGAGGAACCATATATTTTTCCTCTACCCATTACTTCCATCAGGCTTTAGCTGTCAGATTGTTGGGGCCCATGCCTGATGGGCTTTTTCCTGTGTGTCCTTCCACAGGCATGCACCACTGTTTGGCCTGAGGACAGATGACCATCTCATGTGTCCTGGGGAGCTACGGAAGGATAGTGAGGAAGAAGCTGCTGGTGCATAGAACAGAAACACAGCTGGTGGAACCAAGAAGCACCTACAGTGGGACTCAAGCTCAGCACCCTTCAGACTGAAGCCCTCTGAGCTATAGTTCTGGATTGGACTGTTTCTCCTCTACCATCACCTGCATGACACACAGTTCTGGATGCTTTTGACTGGTTGGCTTCCTTTTCGTTCTGCCTTTTCTTTTTCTTTCCTTGGCCCTGAGAATTATTGAAAAAAAGAAAAAAGGATTTACTTTAAAAATTATAATTCTGTGCTAAAATTCATCTTGTTTATGAACAAATTCTGTCCATAGAGGTTTTCTGAATTGCAATCCCAGGTTATGTAGTAAATGGGGCTGTGTCGTTTGACTTGTGCAGTACTGATCCATAGATTAAAAATACATTTCTTTCCATTTTTAAAGTTTGGATCCAGGTAATGGCCCAAGTCACATTTGCTTAGCTACTGAAGCAATCTCAATGTGATATTGCTTGAAGTTGAAATATAGTCAAACATAGATTGTGTCTGGGGCTCTTGCACACTATTTGATGTATATGTTACACTACAAAGAAACACAAACCTGGAAGGTTGAAATTTAATTCTTGTCCAATCCTGCAGATAGAATGGTGAAGACATTATAAATATCAGAAGTGTCTTCAAATACCCTGAATGTAAGCTAGTCAACAGTTAAGCAGATGGTTTCAAAATGCCATTTTCTAAGACAAAGCAGGAATTGGAGATCAACTGACCTCATCAACAGTGTTGCTTAGGTCTGTCTGTGGATCTGCCTGTTTTGGAGGAGTTAAAGAACAACCATGCTCCTGTGATTGGGTTTATGGGCACTGTGGTATTTATGACTTACGTTTTGTAACTGTGCCTTCCTTGCAATAAAACACCTTTGGTTGACTCAGCAACAAGGTCTCTGTCAATTTCCTGCAAAACTGTGTCCTTAGTGGCTTCGTAAGAAAGACCAATGTAGACCTACAAGTGGTAGACCTGCCAGAGATTTTGGCTGGATTCAGCATTAATGCTTTTTCAGAAATGGCACAGAGCTGTACATTGTCTGCACCTGGGGTCAGAGTCATGTGGTCAACCCCCTCTCCTCCTTATATTGTAGTCAACTGTAGAAATCTCTAGTCATGGCATAAACCCATTAGACAGATGTGCTGCTGTCTGCCATCATTCTCTAATTCTGGAGTCCCCATTTATTTCTGTGAGACCCTAGGACAAGCCATGAACTCTCTGAACCTCGGTTTTCTCATGTACAAAATGGAAATAATGATACTTCCTGTCATTATGGTGATAGGTGCCTGTAAAAGGACATCACATGGATGGTACTTTACACATTGTAAACACATTGGGATGTAGCAATGCTCAACAAATGGTGGGTGTTTTATTTGTTAATAAAAAAATTGAATGAATTTTTTAATTCCTTACCATTGGCCTTCGATTGAGAACACTGGGTAACCTCTGAGTAGCTTCTTAGTCTCTTTGCTTAAAGCCATTGGAAAGAAATGTGAAGGTTCATGGGACAGAAGTCAGGAGAGGAGAATCTGTGGCTCCCACCTTGTCCACATAGTCAAATACCTCAACTCCTTAATTCTTCCTTCTGTAAGATAAGTCCGATTTTTTACCTCCTTCACAGAGATGACATTAGCCTTTTCTTAGGAAGTGATTTACCATGCATGTAGCTATGTGAGAACCATCTTTCCCACTTGTTTGCAACATCAGGGCCATGCCATCCAAGGGCAGGTGAGTATCCCTCTAAATACTACAAGGAGATCTCATTTGTGGTAGGAAAGAATTGAGGCCTTGGAAGGCCTCATCAGAATGGATCTGTCACTTTAGTGGAAATTTCTTTTGAGAAAACCCTAGCACTCTCCAGCACCACATGTGCGATTTTGAGATGACCAAAATGAGAAGCAAGGACAAGAGCTAAGATAGTTTATTTCATGCTGGGTGGCAGATGGAATAGTTGTTCTCTGATTGCCATTGTACGTATTATAGTCCCACAGACATTGTCCTTGGACTTTAAGACATGCATAGTAAAAACTGTTTTCTACTTTCTATCTTGAAGTCATTAAAATGGTAACAATAATTGCAACATCAAGTTAATCTTTGTTGAGCACTTGCTATATGCTGGGCACTAGGCAAAGCACTTTGTAAGCAGTGGCTCATTTAATCACCACAATGGTCTCATGAAGTAAACACTCTCCTTACCCCTATTACCTTTATGAGATACTGAGGCATAAAGTTGTTAGGTAACTGGCCAAGCCACCCAGTGGTGAGAAGCATAGCTGAGATGAACCAGGTCTGCCTGACTCCAAAGCTGGGGCTCTTCACCACCATGCTTTCTCACCTGGGCTCCAGTCCCTGTCTAATTGCTTACTGGTTTGTGACTTTGAACCTCACCTTTGGAATTTCATTGTCCTTACTTGTAATTAGAGGCTATTAATTATCATCCTCTGCTGTCTGCTTCCCGCAATTATTGTCTAAGCTCTTGGCAAATGTATGCCAACTAAGTGTAAATCAATATAAAAAATAAATGTTTTTTTTTAAAATAGTATTTTTTAAATTAAAAAAAAAAAACACTTGTGGAGGAGGTCCAGGTTGGGACTACCTTATGCTAAATTCTATTTTCTATTTAGCAGTTTGAGGTTCCAGTGCATCATATCCAGAGGTCTTAATGGATATGAATGTTGAGCCCATGAGCTATGTAAAGGGTAACTAAGAGAGCACAAAATTAATTGAGAAACACTATTCGATTCTTGAGCAAAATGATGTGGACTCTAACCTTAGTTCCTGAAGTCTCTATCAGAGTACATTGTTTGTGGCAGATTGAAATAACCTCTTCCCGATTCTAACAGGTTATTCAGAGACTGGTGATATGGTGTATCTGTTTGAGGGAACACTGGAGTTTAAAGCAATTCACGTATTTGCAAGCAGGTTGCAGCAGATGCAGTTGGCACCCTGTCCACATTTCAGAGGCCTTTCTCTGAGTGGGGTGTCTTGGTACCTCACAGGCCAGAAGTGCTAGAGCGTTCATTCGTACTCCCCATTCAAGACTAACCCTCATGCAATCACTGAAGGGAATTGGAATATGAACACCCCAGCTCTCTCACCCCTTGGGTGGACTGACCGAGGCATGTTCTACACTGTCTCTGAGCTCTCCGGTGAGGTGACACTCCAGTTCCTCATAGTGGTAACTGGCTTGCGAACCCACTTTGATCGGTGATCTCCTTTCCTTCCCTGTCTCACCCTCTCACTTCTCAACCGTCCTTTCCTAGGATCACCTCCCCAGTAAATAGTTAATTTGCACATAAATTCCTATTTTAGGGTCTGCTTCTCAGAGGAGCCCAAGCTAATTCAAAATTCTGGTGCTGGACAATTATAAAAATAATTATACACCAGAGAAAATACAGCAGTATCATCCAAGACTAAATAGTTTCTTCTTTTGTCCTTCTATTGGTACTTAGCTACGTTAGGAACAGGAAAGGGAACCTCATAAACCTGTGACTCAATTGCCAGAGAATGATTTTCTTTCTGTGAAACTGACATTTCCACAAGTTATGAGATATTTTTCCTTTTAATGAAAGACTCAACTAACATGTTATACCATAGGCAAGAGTCACCTGATGACACATCAAATTGCAATTCACTGACTAGAACAAGTAATTAAATATAAGGGGGTAATGGGAAAAGGACAGAGTCACAATCCCAAAGCCCCCTCTCACCTCTCAAGGACTCCTATTTGCCTTCGAATCACTTCTGCTTCAATTAACATTGATTGAGCCTGCCTAAAGTGCCTGGCTCTTGTCAAATCCCATTACAGGAGACTCCGAGATACTATCTGTCTGCGAGCCTTTGTTGTGCTGGGACATTTTTGTGGGAATATTGAAAATATTGTACAGAGTAGCTGGAACACATTGATCAGGGCTGTTATACAGGAGGTTTGCTTTTTCTGGTGTGTCAGTTTTATAAACGGAATTTCATTTTTGCTGTTTTCATTATCAACTCGAACCAATTCTCTTAGGTTCCAGTTAGGATGCTTTAAAAAACATGTCAGACTGACCTACTGTTTTTAAAGATAAACATTGAAAATGTCATGCCTGTAAAGTAAGAAAATGTGACTGGATCTTTGTTACAGACATCACACTGAATTTACTTTTTTTATTGGGAGGAGACATACAAAGAAACATGTTTTCTCTGTGGGGTTCCCAGGAGAAGATTCAATGTTTCTCTTATTGGAGATGTAAATAGAATTATAGCACAAAGTAGTCTGCCTTATCTCTTTTCTTCTCAGTCTTTGCTAAGATCTTAGAGGGCGGGGCTATATTTTATGCATCTTTGTTTTCAATATGTGGTTGAGGAGAGAATTTTCCTCATGTTAGGTATCTACTCCATCTTTACTCAAAATAATTAAAGTAGATAGTGGAAAATATTTCATAGATTTCCTGTCCATTTTTAGTTTGAACCATCAAGAGTGTGCACCCAATCCTGCGCTTACTGGAGGGGCAAGGGAAAGTAAATCCCCATCCTTGAATTCATGCTTAGATGTTGAGGGGCAAGATTCCTGTTAGGAAAACATCAGAGAATAATATTGTTCCTAGGATCTTTAATGACCAAGGACTTTTTATATAGGGAAACACTATTGTTTGTACCTTTTTAAATGCTCATATTTTCATCTTCTTAACTTAATTTTTTTTCCTAAATATTCAAATGCTACCTTTGCCCCTAATAAATCAAAATATCCCTTATAAATTGAATCATCTTAAAAATATCCACTAATTTCATTTAAAAGCTTTACAAACTTTGAAAGCAGATGGCACATACATGAATACACACACACAAATCACAATGGGATTCAAAATTTTTGTATCTACACTTAAACTATTAAGGAGTATTTATATTATGGGCTTGACTTATGTCTTCATTATTTATCAATTTGTTTTATACCTCCATTGTTTTTTATACTTCTTATACTTTCCTAGGGTTACAGTAATCTTGCCAGAAAAAGAATGTACTTCCAGACTAGCTGGTTTTGTAGATTTTGGGTTATCAATCACTTGATTGTTTGGTTGGCACATAGGATCTTACTCAATCCCTTCAAAGTTGATCCACCTGGACTGGTGTTTTCTGGGTTGAGTTTTTTCCAAGAGTCAATGTTCAGTTGCTATGTCAATGGCCATTGGAAGCCCCTGTCTTATATTAGCAATGTGGAGCCTCCCCTGATGGTTGCCGTGTCCATCAAATCTTAGTTTCAGGCAGGGAGCCTTTACCTTGTGTTGCTTTGGTTTCTCAGTATTTCTGATAGAAATGTCCAGTGGTTTCATTATTCATGAGATGAAGGGCTGTGTCTGGGCAACACATTCTCTCCTTCAGATCATTACTTCATACATCAGCTTCCAACATACTACTGAGCTCTTTCTACTGACTGTTATTAAGTGACTACAGGAGTTGATAACTCATCTAATCTACCAAGAAAAATCACCAACTTTTCTTGAGTTATTCGACTTAAAATTCACTGTAGCTGTTTTTTTTTCTATTTACTGAAAAAAATACATATGTTAAAATATATATTAAATAAAGGAAACTGAACATTTATATATGTCAATTCTTACTACTTACCTACTTATTAAAAATATTAAAAAATAAATATATCTTTCTTTTTGTTTTTCACTGACCTCTTTGTATACCTTCTACTTTTGCATTGTTGAGAGTATTATGGACTCAAGGCTTTTCATAGACCTAAGGTACTCCAATGAACTGTAATTATCTTTTTGCTCAGATATTGCACTATGGGCACCCCATTAAGCTGTCTCCCTTGTCTTTTCAGCTTTACTCTTGAGATATTTTTGAAAGTCTCTTGCTTAAAGGCAACAGGATGTTTCATCTCCATATTGATTGTTTT